CTCTCTCTCTCTCTCTCTCTCTCTCTCTCTCTCTCTAACTTCTTGCCTCTGCCCTTGCAGCACTTCGAGGCCGTGGACAAGACGGTTATCGAAGGCCATGTCATCCCCAACCACGTGCTTTTCACCGCGCCCACTCCCAACGAGAAACCGTATGCCACCGTGGCCTTCAACAACGAGAACATGCAGGTCACCATCGCCTTTAACACCGACCACAAGAAACGAAAGAGTGAGTATTTACACGCCAATCCCTTCCTCTCCCCTCCTCTCCCAGCGGGATACTTCTGAAAGCGAGTCTGAAATGGATTTGCAATGTCATTTGCACATTTTGAAATTAAATCGAGTTCTGTAACTAGTTGTGTACCTAAAACATTACCAATAATCTCTCCCTAGCCATTGTCAAGAGTAACACCGTAATAGGCGACGAGAAGCACGCCTCGGGCGTGGTGATGGCCGAGGTGGTCAAGGCCAACATCCCTGTGCGGAACGGCGTGGTGCACCTGATCGACCGGCCCCTCATGGTCATCGACTCCACCGTGCAGGAGTTTGTGGAGGTCTGTATAGCAAGCAGGCAGCGGGACAGCAAAAATGTTAGCAGTTTTCTCTGCATATTTTCCATAGCTCTGAAAACGAATATTGTTTTGCTGGACCGCTGGTTAAACTAAGATGTTAGTTGCTGTCTATTCCCTACCTTGCGTGTGTGCTCGGTGGGACGCGTGTGGAACGAGCTATGACCTTAAATCGATTCTTCTCTCTGTTTCTGTTTGCCCATCCCGTCCCGGCTGTTTGGGATGTCTTCGCATTGATCCCTGGTGGCTCTGCAGTCTTTCAAGGTAAGCGACTCGCTCGATCCTACTTGCGTAACTGTTTTCTGATCTGGTGGATCCCCCGGGTTGTTTTTGGCTCTTCAACTGTCTTGTAGTTAAATCTCGTAATGGAAGTAATGCCTCAGTTTTATCTCGAAAGTTATGAGATCGCACACAAGACTTCGTGTCTCCTATGAGCTCTTAATTGTTTCAGAACAGAATTATTCTGATCTGGTTGGTCAGAGTTCAAATGTTGGTGCACAAAGTCCCGTGGTCGCGGTTAAATACTTTCGCTTCTCTTTTCCTAAAAACCTTCTTTGCTTTGTGGTGGTGGTTGGTGGTGGTTTTCTTAGGTCTGCGATGCTGCTCTTTAAATTTGTGGTTTGTTTTTCCAATTATCAAAATCCTGTCGTACCTGCCCTAGACAGACTGGACGTTGGTTCGCCGTTGAGTTTGCGTCGATAAATAGCGAATAATTCATGGCTGCGAGCATCTCGGCTCCTTCTCCCTCATTGAAACGTGACTGTAAATGTTTCTCTCTGCTTTGCATGTTGTGTGCATTTTGTTAACGTCCGGCTGTACTCCGGCTGCTGCGTGTTTGCAGGAGTTCGTAAGTACAGCATCAAAACCATGTCTTTCTCTGTATGTTATACGCAGACTGTGTAGTAGTGTGTGGCAGTGCGTTCTTGTAGCTTGTGCTATGCTCTATCACACGTTTTCACGCGTTTCACGTTTTGTTTCACGCGTGTCACCCTCGCCAGCCCTGTAATCTAGTTTCTGCTTATTTTGCCACCTCGACCACACATCACTGTCTCTGTCATTCGCTATTGTTGCCAACGTTACTCAAGACACACTCAATACCTATGTTTTCGAGTCTGAAGTGCATAACGTGACCAGCCAGAAACGCTTTATCTACTCTACCGGTGTGTCAGGGTTGCGACACTTCAGTGTTGTGGGTTTGCATAACCCTAGGGGCCATGGCACCTGACAGGCGGAGCGATGAGGCAAACCCACATACTGTTGTGTCATGGCCCTCAGACGCGGCTATACGTCTACTAAACGTCTTGTAGACGTTGAGGTCTATTTAATAGACGTCAGCGTCTATTAGACGTTTAATTAACTTGGACTTGATTATGCTCTCTGGCATGGTGTCTATGGCCATCAAATGGCTGTTGTGGATGTTTTGTTGTTTTCTTCGTTCATACACACGGGATTTTAGACTTGCGAATGATGTAGATCAGCCCTCTAGCACTGACCAATCTATATAATGCTCTCAGAACGTGCTGGCTTCCGTACGAGCAAGATAAGAGATCATTTCACGTCAGGCACCCACCGCATCATCACGAAATAATATTCCATATCATCTTATAAGGATCTATACAGGGTGGTCCACAGACCCCTCCCTTTGTTTTGCTTATACCTGTACCGGATGCAGGCGTGTAGACGGGTTGCATACTCACACGGGGTCATAAGGCGCCGTGGTGAGCGACGGTCAAGCCCGCACGTCTTCATGCGTTGTATAAACAAAACAAAAGAAGGGGTTTGTGGACCACCCTGTATGTCCACTGGTCGACAGTTTCACTATAAAATTAGTTGATGCCCTCAAGCTTTTATATTACTCATTATTTTACCTCGTCGTGAGGGTGGTTTCGTCTGCATTCATTCATTCAGTCATTCATTCATTCATTCATTCATTCATTCATTCATTCATTCATTCATTCATTCATTCATTCATTCATTCATTCATTCGTTCGTTCATTCATTCGTTTATTCATTTACAGCATTTCAGTTTTGTCACTTAGAAATGATAAGACTCTGGGGGTGAACTCCATGGACCTTAGGCCTGGATTCATAGATGCAGTACACACTGCCCCATTGCTGGCATTCCCCTTTTCTTCTCTCCCCGGTCCGAACTAATCCTAGTCTTCTCCATCGCTCTCTTCTCTACAGGATCGAGAGGATGGGCCACTCTACGAGTTCTGTAAGGTGCTGACCAACAAGGTGGACTCGGGCTTCCTGCGCGGTCTAGGCGAAATGAAGAACTTTACGCTGTTCGCGCCCTCCAACGAGGCATGGCGCAACCCGGCTGCGCTCGCCGCCCTCAACAACGCTACCCTCTTGAACGAGGTGATCCGACTGCACATCGTGGACCAGCGACTTCCCCTCGAGCACATCAAGTCCAAGAGCCACAGCCTGCACCACCAGGTACGGCACCACTCGCAGCACGCCAACCGCCACCAGCACCACCAGGTAAGCCGACCTGCAAGCACCTTTTTTTTTGTGTGTGTGTAGTGTTTTAGTGGACAGGCAAGTTTTTGAATGTGTGCAATTGACTCGCCATGAGTGGAAGGATATTTTGACCAACCAACGAAAATATTTTTGGACGAAGCATGTGGCTGGGACGACATACAGAAACTTGCCTTCTCTAGAGCTGGACCTTCCTATGACAAACTTACTAAAAGAAACATATTTTTTTTATTAATAAATACAAGCTTAATCTTACCAGTTATGTATGTTATTTAATTTGATTTTCTGATATTTGACTGGCCTGGCTCTAGAAAAATATTAGTAAGAGGGCAATGTTAGTTTTACCAAAGTGACATGTAACCAGAGGGGGTTTGGGAAAGGGAGTATCTACATGTGTCTGAACCTGTTTATTGCGGTTGACTTCTATGCCCAGGGCAAGTTGTTTTTTTATCATTAAATTTCATTAAATGAATTAATGTTGTAAACATTGGTCCCCTGTGAAAGCACTCATCCCAAGCAGATGACACTTTCTGAAAGGGTTAGATCACCCATTCTTATAAGGTATTGATTGCAGGAGTCTGGTAAAGTAATAATTAATGGTAGCTATATTTCCACCATTTGCATATTGCTAGGAGTCCTATGCACCCCTCTCAATTGCACAGGTGTAAGCTTGCTTCTGTTGGCACCTATTTAAATTTATGCTTACATTTTCATGTAAGCAGCGTGATTTTACCGCAGGCTCATGCTCCATATTTTTCAGTTTTAGTTCTGATTAGTTTTAATGGATAATACTGATAACCCTGCAGAAAATTAATTTCTATGGGTTCAGTTCTAATTTTGTTGTATTTTTTGGTGGAATCAATCACAAAATTAAACATCTAGAATTAAAACTAAAATTGGAAACCTGACAAAATCTTACATAAACTTAAGTGTCTGTTCTGGTGTGGGGTTAGTGTGACTGGGCATCGGTGTCATCCTGATCAACATCAACATTGGAACTATGGAGGTTATTTAAGGTCCATATTTTCTCAAATAATGAAATAACAATTCCCATTTAATTATGATGTACTGTAATTGGATATTATAGCAGTCCACATGGTGTGACATGGAAGTAGTATGCACCACAGCCTGCCCTGACCTGCATTCATTGTGATTCTTTGTTTTGTCCTATTATTGGTCTTAGCACATGGGATGATAAATGTGGCAGCACTCTAAATTTTCCTATCACATGCATTGATCTATTCAATCTCCCTTATGGTTATAAAATCCTAAATAATAGAAAACGCTCACTTAAAATGGTTTGATAAGAACAGTGCAAAATTATATCTTGGTGTATATAGTTGATGTAGCATGGGCACATCGTTGCATTCAATAGATGTCTTAATATTCTGAATAGTTGATAGAGGAGTAGGAGCATTAGTTGTAGTAAAAATATTTCAATATTATTATTAATAATGTGTTTTGAACTATTTACTCAAAATTTACTGATTCAAACAAATAATATTGGCTAATTTTTATAAAGCATTTTTTTACTAATTGATTGCCCATGAAATCTCTTGACGAATATGAGCTGCAAATTACATGATGGGTAGTCAACCAAACATGATGTGTCTAAATCTGGTTTATGGGCACATGATTCTTACATAATGTGAATAGAAGTTAGAGTATCGATCTACAACAGCCAAAACTGAGTGTATAATTTCTTAGTTACCATCAATATTTATTTCTTATAGAACTTTACGCTCAATCTTTCATTTGCAATTTCAATTTTATGATAGGATTGTGCTTAAATTAGTAATGAATGCTGATCTTTTTTAGGACTAATTATTATTCCAATTCGGGAACCTCTCAATGCAATTTTTTGTGGCTCTTGTTCAGCTCTTCCAGGTGCGCTCCATGTCGGAGCCAAAGAACTTGTACTTCAATGTAATGGTGACTGGTAGCAACCACACACTCACGGTTGAGGGCGGTGGAGTGAATGCTACTGTCATCCAACCAGACATCGCGGCTACAAACGGCATTATTCACATCATTGACAGAGTGCTTGGGATTGCAAGCCATACAGTCCAAGAGAAATTGGCTACTGATCCATCCATGTCGTGAGTCTTAAACAATTTAATAATAATTTTGATAATGCTGCCTCTTTTATCTGGATCAACTAAAATACGGTTTGTTACTTTTATTTACAGAAAAAGTTTCCATTTAGGGCAAACTGAATTCAACGGTCGTTTGAAAGACAACAACACCCGCTTTACTTATTTCGTCCCAAGGGATGCTGCCTGGCATGCAGCTGAATTGCGTTACCCCTCTACTATCAAGAAACTGTTCATGCCAAAATTCAAGTACCATGTACGTCGCTTTTCTTTGAAATCTGATTTTTTATCCTATTTTAATAAAACAAAATATGAATTCCTAATGAAAAAAAATATTTTATAGGCTCATCAGATCCTTGAACGTCATCTGGTTGTTGCTAACACTGCATACACCATGTTGGATATCAAGAGAATGACCCACAATGGACCAGTTGTTCTTCATACCGTTCGGGACAAACTTGAGTTGCAGCTGCAGGAAAAGGCTAATGGTGAGTCCATAATTTCTATTTTACCAGAAAGGGTGATTGCCCCATGCTGCATGTGTTGTTAACACTGAAATATTCAGGCTTTATACAATTAGTATTTTCTTCTTAGTACAATTAACTTCCTTAAAACTTTTCTTTTTTTCTCTCTGGAAGGAAAATAGGCTATCTTATCTGAGTTTTTTTATATATCATATAATTTTTTTCTTTAATAGTAAAGATTTTTGTTCTTGATATAGGTGCCACAAATGGAACTGGTGAGTACAGACTGGTTCCATCAACATATGTCACATAGTTTGCTTTAAATGTTGTCCACTATAAATAAACCTAATTTTTTGTGTCACAATTCTTTCTTGTTTAAATACATAATTGTTATTTAAAAGTGGCTATATTTATATTTTACCACCTTGAAATCATTGAACTGCTGGACAGTGGCACACTTCTTGTTTATTGTTCCTTCATGTACTTAGTCACATTGTCTGCTTCTTTACACCTGATATTTATTTTGAAATATTAGATTCTTCAGTTTGATGTAATTGAGACAAAATAATTGTGATATCCAATGAATATCACTATTTGTCAGCAATATTTCTGTACTTTTAATTCAACCAATTCTTGATTATTTTTTTATATTTTTTTTTGTTGGGACATGTAGACAAAGAGCTTATAGTTGTAGGGGAGGGGTTATAGGTTATAGAAATATCATGTGCACTTTTGTTTAGTCACTAAAGTACCGAGGAATTTGAGCACGAACTGTCAGCATGATGTCAAAATGGTTCCCTATTTTGACATTTTCCATGACTCTTTTTGATGTCATTTGGACCGTGATTTGACATTTTGAGTCAAAGCAGAGTCATGACGACATCAAGAAGTGTCATGGAAGACGTCAAAATAGGGGACCATTTCGACTTCATGCTGACAGTCAGTGCTCAAATTCTTCCTTGGGTACATTTTTCACCCAGACGAGTACTTAAATTTATTTTTTATGACATTCTCTTGCACAAAAAAATATAATCCATGAATAATTCCTGTTTATGTTCTAATCTGTTTGTTGCACATTATCACACACACAAACTGATATATGTTTGATGTCACTTACTACATGTTTCTCTTTGATGTGTAAGCCACAATACTTTTATTTATGGTCTTCTTTTTATTTTTCTTTGTTCTAGGTTATTACCTGAAATGGCAAAACGAAGAAATTCTTGTACATCGTGCCGATGTAGAATGTACGAATGGAATCATTCATGTTCTGGATGGAGTTTTCTTGAAAGACAGTGATGTCCGTGTTACAGCTGGTGTATCAGGAATGATGTACACAACTTATTCGCATCTGTTTGTAATAGTTTTGGCTCCTTGGCTTTCTAAGTGGCTTTTGGGATAGAGCACCAAAAGCCATCCTCCCAGACTGAGCTTACTAGTCAATCATCCCCTTTGTTGAAGGGCCAGAAAAACAGATAACTCTCTTGAGTCAACAGTTTTTGTTGGGTATGATACACATTTTAAATTAGTCGTGCCTGTCATTTTGTTCCCAGCTGTTGCAAATTTATTTTTGTTCAAATTAAGGTTTTGGAGTAAAAAGTGTCTAGGTGTGAGTTATTGATTTTCTTTGTATTATTTACTTTGTTAGAAATTAGTGTTTTGCTCCTTTTTGTGCATATTTTAATTTCTTTTTAATGGCAGGCTGAACCTTTCCATTAAGCAGCTCACTAAAACATCTCTAGAAATTTCTAGTAGCCTGTTTTTGAACTGTGTAGGACTTTTGAGTACAAAGTTCCCTTAGGTACTTTTATTTATTGCCAAAGCAATCACTTCACCTGAATAATGAATCAAGCTAAGGTATAATTTATGGTGCATCTCAAACGCTTTGTGTCAAGTTATTTTTGCCTTTGTAGCTATTCAGAATAGCAGATTCTCAATGTCAGTCTATTTAATGTACTATTTTACCGAAGATCTGTCTTGGAAGAGGACCACTGTCAAAAAGACAACTTAACACATTGAGTGTGGCAAAATTTTTGCATCTTTGTTCATTAAATATAGGGTACAACCCCTTATGGTTGCATGTTCCTCGACGTGTTTATTAGACAGAAATGCGTGCACACTTTCAAAACTTTTGTTCTTTGAAAAGTGAAAAAAGGCATTGCAACACTCTTCTGCAATGCAGACAATACAGATGGAGTAAGCACTACTTGCTGGTAACTAATACTGGTTTGCAACTGTGCCCGTGGGTGACCAGTTACCACAATTTGGCCTGTTTGCATTTGGCAATGCCAAAGTTTGTTTCTTCTAACTGCCATTTTGACGTGTTCATTGTCAAATTCCAACAAATAAGTAGTTGTATGCGGAAGTATAATGAATAAATTTTCTCTGTGAAGAGGTTCTATACATTTTGCATGTTTAAAACAGACTCTAAAATTAAACCTAGGTAAGGATGTTTTAGTGCATCCCTTTAGGGCTGTCAGTAAATGTTAAAGACTAGGAAAGCTGTAGTATATGGAGTGACAATGTAGTGATAATCACATCACTTTTCTCTGATTTGAGAAATAGGACAGCATTTTCCATTTCATTTATTGCTGAATTGTGATCATCCATTCATTTTTGGTCATTTTAAGAATTGCTTGGACTGATGCATCATATATCGATATACCTGTTGCCAGGCCAAGCTGGCTTCAATCATGAGGGGTCACCTCACCAAAGACATCCATGGAATTTTAATAAGCATGTATGTTTGTTATCCATGGTAAGGTATTACGTCTTTTTATACATAATGTATATTTATTTACCATGCATTTCTTAGCTTTACATCAGCGTACATTTAAGGAGCAAGAGGTCATGGTCTGTCATTGACTGTGAAAACTGCCCTGTTGGTTTTATAAAATCTACAAGTACATAAGACAAATTATGCTGGCACATTGTTAATTATAGGTGTAATGTAAATAACATGTATGTAAATGACTCAGTTCACTGACACTGTAATTATCTACTGATTGTGTGCCTGATACCAAATGTATCATGGACATTTGTGTGAGTGAATGTCAACATTTCTGTGTTGTGGCGTTTTGAATGAGTGAGTGATTGAATCTTCAAAAAAAGATTGGTGAAAAAATCTTTAGGATTGTGAAGATGGACTCAAGGGTGCATGGGATTGATAGGGGGTGTATGTTTTCTGAAATGTGTACAATAGACTTTAAGTAGGTAATTTTTGTGCTGTGCAGAACATTTTTCTTAAAAGTGTATACCTTGCTTATGAAAACTGGCTGAGCAACATGTGTAGTTCAATTATAAAGTGCATCTGTTTCACTTATATATTTGCTTCTGAGAATAGATATTCTAAACAGTACTTGTAAGCAAATAAATATGTCTCAATTTTTGTTTTGGACTTTACTTAGTACAAAGCTTTCTATTTTAAAATAATAGCTTGTACTATGTTACAGTGTGATTTTTTTGCAAAAAAACAACAAACAAACAAAAATATAACAGCTCTGAATTACATAAACTGTACCAGTTGTCTAAATATGCATAGTCTTGGCCACATAGGCCCTTTGCGTGATAGGCGAACTTAAGTACCCCTCATCAATGATCAATGTTGAAAAATCAATTTTTCAGCATTACGCAGTGAATTTATATGTGGCTTCTAAAACACAAAAAATTGATTTTAGATTCAATTTTGTATGCTAGCTTGATGAAATTTTGTGCTTGTCAACATTATTTTGGGTGCTAGGAACAAGAATTTTGTGAAGTGACAAAATCCAAGCAATACCCCATATTTTGCTGCAAATTTTAAATATAAATCCAGTTTTTAAGAAAATGTGAGTTATTGCACCAATTGCATTAGTGTGACATCCATGTCATGCGTGTCACGAAAACCTTTAAAACAACTACTGTTGACCAACCCTGGAACATATGTCAGCTGCATCTTAAAAGTGGAATAGGCACAATCAAATGTCTAAACAACATTGATTTGACTAAGGAATGAAACAATCTACTTTCTTTTAAAAATGTTTCCAGCAAATTGCGAAGGTCATCCAATCAATCGGCATGTACCATATAATACAACTGCCAAACTGCTTATTTTTTATATGAGTTGGTGGAGAAGAGCAGGGAATTGTAAATTTTCTAGCTTCGGAATCAACGCTTGCGTCTGATTTGTCCCTTTTCTTGATAATGATAATCATTTGCTTTATTGTATCAGATCAATAGGTAATGATGTTTTTAACAATGTGGTCCACATTCTGGTAATTTTGTAACCAACCTTAAATCAACATAAATCATAAAAGTTTAGCTTAGGCAAGGTACTGGCAAGTCATTGATGTGTGCATCTTATCATTTAATTTGCAAACTCTAGAGGATAGAAGATTCCACAAAACCAGAAAGTGGCAAATAAAATTTGTTTCAGAGTACACCCATTTCTGCGGGAAAGATAATTTTGTAATCTCCCCAGCAATAAACGCTTTACATTCCACAGAGTTTTGACTGATTTTTGGAACCTACAACACATTTTAATAACACTAGTGCTTTGCAGCTGTGTACTACATTTAACTGTCCCCCCCCCCCAAAAAAAAATAATCTTGAAAAAGTGAAAGTTTTCAAAATCCATACACACAAGCACGTCCATGCAATCCGTGTCCTAATGGTCATACCGAATGGTCTTGGAGTACAAGCACTGGATGCCCCTACAGTACAGTACTGTTCAACCGACCCAGTGTAGCTTGAAAAATACTTAAAATGTATTTGAAAATGTTGTGGTCCGGCCTTTTACCACGTCCCTGACCACAAACCTGGCAGCCAGAGTCAGCTTAATACGACACGACTATAGAAGATCCTCATTTGGGCATTTTACAGGGTGGTGCACGGACTCCTTCCTATATTTTGCTTTATTGTACCGGCAGCTCGATGGGTTGCCTACGCACTGGCGTGCTGGCGTGGAGGGCGAGGAGCGGTAGCGGGAGGCAAACGACCGCCAGGCCGGCCGCCTCTGCCGCCTCCCACCACCTCTTCCGCTCCCCCCTGCACGCCAGTGTACACAATTATTGTACACAGTTATGCATAAAAATTGCGCATACTTATGGCTGTATAAAATTCTGCAAGTTTATGCACAGCAAAATGCATGAGGGTTTAGTGTGTGAAAGGGAAGTCCAAAGCGACTTGCTTCTTGGTCTTCCGAAACCAACCAATCACTGAGCGACTGGGAGATGCACGGTGAGTTGCCTACGCGCAAGGCGCACTCAACAAATTAATAGAGCAAAACGATTTCTATGAGATCTAAGCTAAGAGAGAGGACGTTGCCTGAAAATGAAAGGATCCCCGTGATCCTTGTTTGCGATCTATTTCCAAAAAATAAAATATACATGTTAATCATATATATTTGAGAACGGTGAAAACGCCTGAAAGGGGAATTACTCCCTTGCCTTTCATCGCGTCGCATATCATTTTGACTTGTAACATTTTCGTAACTTCTAAAAATTGTTTTCGGAAAAAGGGACATGGAGCGTTATAGTGTTACCGTTTGCCCTTGAAAGGTAGGTTTGCCCTCGCGTTTGCCCCATCATATGCCACAATGTATTTTTGGTCCATCGTTAATTCGATACAAACAAATCAACCCAACGTCGATATGCCTACTGTATTACACTCGATGATAATTATTTTTTTAATACTCCTGAGTTATTTTGTAAATTATGGCCTTCCTTTAAAACCAATTTACATATGGTTAATGTTTTGGACCCGTACAAAGCATCAACGAATCCACATTTCCCATTCCTTTCAAAATATATTTTTATCTCGAGTTATCTTTCTTTTACAGCGTGAGATAAACAAGTCCCAAGGCCAACACACATCTTCTATCGCAGCAGCTTATGAGTGGGCCTGTCCCCTGTTCTGTTGTCAAGCGCGTTAGGTATGCGTTCGAGAACTGGTTAGCAGGTGCCTACGAAAAAGGTAAACTGGTGACCACACGAGACCATATAGGCAGGAAGATAGCTTCTACCATCTGCCACAATGGACAAGTATACAAAAGGTGTACTGCATATTTGACTCGTGCATGGAGAATGTAGGCAACTCAGACGTGTGAACCACCAATTCAGCCAATAGCGGGGGTGATGATCTGCAGAGCCGCAGCCTCACTAAGGCGCAGTAGGCATAGGCAACCCATCGTACTCAGTAGAGCAGCCGCGGTTACTCGTCCCGTCCCTCCTGCACTGTTGGGCGAGGAATTCCCTCCCTGAGCACAAAACGAGTGGGGGTCGGCTGGCCCTTCATGGCCCGGCGCGAAGCGAGGGATAAGGGCGCTATAACACAACCAGGGCGATGACAAGGGACTGCCACCGGGCTTGGCACGGACAACCGCGCGGAAGGAAAGCCTTCCCCCACAGCTTATATTATAGCAAGACGAATCTTTATCAACGCCAACCGGCTTATCAAAACTGGAACTGGAACGTCAATCGGTTATCTTTATCAAAACTGGATAACGAGAACCGGCAATATTTATCAAAACGGGAAACTTTTACCTTCGGGTAGAGACAGACCACAAGGGACTGTCTAAAAAGGACAGGATCAAGGCCCTGTGCTGCGATGAGTGTCATTGAGCGTGCCCTTGAATCCCATGACAAACTAATATCCGAGGTGTACAGTAGCTCATCCCTGCCCCCTCGCCTCCCTAGCCGCCCACCCACTTCTCCCACTACCAATAAGGCGTCAGCGCACGGGCGAGGGGCAGGGCGGGGAGGACTCCCGGGGCGCCAGCGCAGCTGCGCCAGGGACCTCTCTTGGTCAACACTACTGGCTCGTATCAGTATCTGTTGACGTTCGCCCGCGGCAAGCCACAGACCCACACTTATTACCATGGCACCTAACGCAGAGAACCTGACGGCGGTCCTCGTCAAAACTCAGGATTTGCGATTGGTAATTATTGATCAACTTACATTTACACATACTTCTAAGAAAATATTTTCATAATTTTAACTTAAAAGTTGAGGAAATACTGGGGGACGTTGATTTTGCTCACATCACGCAATGATATAGCAGACATTAATGATTTAACTGTAACAAGCTCCACTGTATCTGATATCAAAAGACAATAAATCGGTTATTTAAGTTACGTGTGCAAATAATTTTTTTTCCCTTTTCTTTTTTTTTAATGGATCTTGCGGATTGAGCATTTCCCTCCAGTTTAACTAAATATAGCAAGCACTAATAAATGTTCATCTATCTGATATTCAGGAAAAGCGCCCAATCCCCGAGCCTAAAGATGATGGTAAGAGCTCATCTTATATTGTGATCAAAAACTATCAATTGTTGAAAAAAAAATAGACTCCCCCAGATGTTTAAGTATCATTGGAATTTATTTACAGAGGTACTCTTACAAATGGGTTGTGTGGGCATTTGTGGATCTGATGTTCACTACCTTGTTCATGGGCAATGCGCTACTTTTATCTTGAAAGCGCCCATGGTCATTGGTCATGAAGGCAGTGGTACAGTTGCCAAAGTGGGAAAAAACGTCACTCATCTAAAACCAGGTTAGTATTGAACATATCCAGAAAGATGTAATTTTTTTTTATGTTTTCTAAAACAATGAGTTTTAAAGATTTAAAGAAATGTAAATGTTGAAATGCGGTGAAAAAACACAACTAGAATCCTACAACAAAATGGCAAAGGTTTTTTTAGTTGTTTTGGAGAGGCCGTTTACTCAGCCAGGGATGTGATTTAACAAAACAAATCAATTTGAATGATTTCCCATATTTTTAGGTGACAGAGTTGCAATTGAGCCAGGTGTGCCTTGCAAAAACTGCACTGCTTGCATGAATGGAAAATACAATCTATGCCCCAACATATTTTTCTGTGCCACCCCTCCTGACAATGGAAATCTATGCCAATATTACACCCATGATGCAAACTTTTGTTACAAGTGAGTCATATGTAGTCCAAATATTTTATATCCATATTACACATTTTCTTGATTAAAATGATTCAAACAATTATAATTTGAACAGGTTACCTGCCAACATGTCTCTGGAAGAAGGAGCCATGATGGAACCCCTATCTGTTGGAGTTCATGCATGTAATCAAGCTGAACTTAAGTTTGGAGATAATGTTTTGATCACTGGTTGTGGTCCCATTGGACTTGTTAGTTTGGTGGCAGCCAAAGCCATGGGAGCTTCTAAAGTTATCATGACCGGTTAGTATATTTATATATTTTATGACATGAAATACACTCAATAAATACTTTTAACAGTGAGAAAATATCGAGAATGAGAAAAAGATCTTTCACTCAACTCTCCTCCTCTGCATTTCAGATATTGTAGATCATCGTTTGGAAGTTGCATTGAAGGCTGGAGCTGATGTTGTAGTTAATGTGTCTAAAGGGACCATTGATGACCATGAAAAACAGATTAAAGCAGCCCTTGGAGGAAACTTGCCACAGTGCACTTTAGATTGCACTGGTTTTGAATCTAGCATGCGTCTTGCAATCAGGGTAAGTACGATAGACCAGGACAAAAGAATCATCAGACACTTCATAAAAAAAACTTAAACATTGAAGGCACTTATACTAAAATTCTGTTCCTTTCTTTTCAGTGCACTGCAACCGGTGGGACTATTGTCCTGGTTGGAATGGGCAATTCTGAAATGAAATTGCCACTTGCTGATGCTTTAACACGTGAAGTAGTAATAAAGGGTGTCTTCAGATATCGCCACTGGTAAGTACTGTAAAAATGTACAGTCTATGACAATGAACAAAGTACATAATATACCCTGAGATGTGATTGTGCATGAGGAACTGAATTCTGTGCTGGTTTTTCAGCTATCCTAAGGCAATTGAAATGGTTTCTAGTGGAAAGGCCAATGTTAAGCAATTTATAACTCACAACTACACTTTGGAGCAGACACTTGATGCTTTTGATACTGCTCGTACCGGCAAAGGCAACCCCATCAAGGTCATGATTCACTGTTCAAAGTGAGAAGCAGTCAAAAAATTATCTACATTACAATAATTTTATCTTACTTGTCTACATAGGAAATGTTCCACGCATGTTTTTGACATCATTAAAAGTAAATTTATATGGAAATCACATATTTTGTTTTTTAAAAACACACAAAAAACACTCCCACTTCCTAAAGCTAAAATATATTGAGCTAAAAGATGGTTCTACGTATATACATAAAAACTTAAGTGCAAAGTGGTTTTTGCCATTAATAGCAGAAAAATTTTAGCCACTAATGCAAAGGTATCAAAAAGTCTCACACATATAGTATAAAAACATAACAGTCCTATATAAGTCTAAATTAAGTCCGGTAACAATCTTAAAATATCGCTATGAGTACTTCCAAAAATAATGTTTAGTGTAGACATAATGTTGGACTGTCAGTGGTCCACGAGCATTTCATCATCCCCCTCGCCCAATGGTTTCTCACCTGTTAAGTCTTCCAGCCATTCAACTAAAAGCTGAGCAGTTGGTCGTACACTGGGATCTTGCTCAGTACAACAGTAAAATATTTCCATAATACTGTTGTAACTATCATCCAAATCAACTGGGGGTAAAGCAGGTCGAGTGCCTATTGTGAAGAAAGGGAACGAGTTAAATACTACTCATGAGTGGGAAAAAGCAAAATTTACATGAAAATAATTTATAAATTCTCACCAATCCTGTTCTCAAGATCATCTTCTGTAATGCTTATGTCAAAGTTACTTTCAGCAAGGTCATCAGTGTGTGGGATTTCCAGGGCAATCATTTCCCACAGAACAAGACCAAATGCAAATATGTCAACCTTGATAGATAAAAATCAGTTAATAATAAAACGAGACAGGGTGATAGATACAATTAAGAAGAAAAGGTTGTTTATAAAATACTTTCAAATATCAAAAAATCTTTCAAAAAATTACAACCTTTGATGAAACTGGTCCATCTGACAAGCCCACAACTTCTGGCGCACTCCAAACTGAGGTTCCAACAAAGTTGTCAGGGGCGGCAGCCAATCCATCAGGAAGTAGAGCCATACTAACTCCGAAGTCACATATTTTAATTTCATCATAATCGCCTGAAAGAAAATTATCATTTAATTGTGATATGCCGTATTATTTTCTGATGAGAGATAATGTGATCAATATACCTTTGATTAGGATGTTGTATGACTTCATGTCTCCATGCAGTAACTTTTTTTCCCTGTGGAGGTAATCTAGACCTCGTGCAACTCCTAGAGCAACTTTCAAAATTACTTCAGAACTTAATGGACCCATTTCATCATTTTTCCTGTCTTCAATACGATCAGCCAGTGATGATTCACAGCTCTCCATGGCTAAAGTCATTCGTCCATCCTTGCCAGGAACACAGGCTCTGAAGCCAACAATGTTAGGATGTTTTAAGCTTTTAAGCAGCTCTGCCTCTTTTGCCAAGCGTTGCTCAAAGACCCGTGGCAGATCCCTCTTATCTAATTTTTTTAGAGCCCAGGGAGAACGAGTAGCATCAGGTCGAGGTGACCGATCCCACCTGAACACACTCACACCTGCATTATGAAGAAAAAATATGAAAGTAGTTGAGGATTTTTTAAATTGCATATATTGATTGAAAGCGTTTCTGTCATGGCATACCTGTACCAAAGCCCAACTTCTTCATAAATGGTGAGGGAGGTATATTAATTGGAGTTTTGGGTACCTTAGACACTCTTGTCTTGTCAAGTTTCGGGGTTGAAAATTCCGACATTGCAAGGGAATGAAATTTACAGCAGAATGGGAAAGGAAACTAGCTATGAACACAATGCTCACTACACGCGGTTTTCTTGTTGTGGTTCTCAACTCCACTCCGAGATCAACAAAATCAACTGTTTTGGGGATTCAAGATTCAAAACACAAAGAACAAACAGTTGAATAGACTACAGGGTTAACAACTTACAAACAACTGCTGGCGGTTGGTATGGGTCTAGCCCCGGGCAGGAAGGGAGGACAACAAAGCTCACGTGTGCCGCGGGAAAGTTGGAAACTAATTAAAGTGGCCCGAGCGCTTCAACCGTGTCATGACCAACTTCTTTCAGCCACACGCTAGGAGTCGAAAACCTGAAGAAAGGTTCAAATCGAGAAAACGTTCAATAACCATTCAAAACCAGCGTCCTCTCGCTAGTCAGCACATTTGAGTTTGGCGCGAATTCCGAATTCCCCCTACCCCCCCCCTCTTCCCCAAGTCTTCCCCCTGTCGGTGTCAGAGTCATTTTAAGGATCTTATGTTATCACATTCAAGTAACACAGCTTGTTTTGAGCGTTGTGAGTGCATATACTCTGAAGGTCATTGATAATGCTTGCTAGTTTCAGGCGCATACCCTTTTCTGTTGTTCAATTGCAGTGTTTGACCTATTGACACTTGTTGTCTATTCTACACTTTGGACCCGTACCTGAATGTAAAAAAGTTGCCTATTACATGTACTGATATCAGCAGATTGTCCATTCTATATTTTTACATTTGAACAGCGTAGGGAGGTAATTTTATTCCTTAGTAGTGTCACACTCAGTGTTTCTCCAAATTTTAAGGTTAAGCGTATTACAGCTCTTTGACTTATGTTTCCCTATTTCCCAATTACCCAATGCATATCAATGATAGCAATGTAATTTTTTTCTATCCACAGATTACCATTAAACTATGGCGGCCAGACAGATGAGACTTGGTCTCATACAGATGGCAGTCCATGAAGACAAGCTTGAAAATGTTAAAAAAGCTGTATCATTAATTAAAAAGGCAGCTGAAAAGGGCTCATCATTGATAGTTCTGCCAGAATGCTTTAACTCACCATACGGGTTGAAATACTTTCCCAAGTATGCTGAAAGCATTCATCAAGGAGATACTGCAAAAGCTCTTTCAACTGCTGCAAAGGAAAACAAAATTTATCTCGTTGGTGGATCTATACCAGAAAATGATAATGGGGAGTTATATAATACTTGCACTGTTTGGGATCCCTCTGGAAACCTGTTATGCACCCACAGGTAAAATGATGATTTAAGAGAAAAATTTGAAATTTCAAGTACCAGATATTTTATGGTAGGCTCTTGTCTTTCAGAAAGGTGCACTTGTTTGACATTGATATTCCAGGAGGCATTAAATTTAAGGAATCAGAAGTGTTGAAGCCTGGGAAAAAGCTGACCACTTTCAACATTGGCCCATGGAAAATTGGCCTTGGAATTTGCTATGATATTAGATTTGCTGAGATGGCCAAACTCTACTGCAAAGATGGGTGTAATCTCCTCATCTACCCGGGGGCATTTAATATGACAACTGGGCCTCTTCACTGGGAGTTGTTGCAAAAGTCACGTGCTGTTGACAATGAATTGTACGTAGCAGCAGTGTCCCCAGCTCAGGATGCATCAGCAGAATATGTAGCCTATGGCCACACTATGGCAATTGATCCATGGGGAAAAATACTATCTTCAGCAAGCTTCGGGGAAGAAATAGTTTATGCTGATATTGATTTGTCTGTCGTGGAGAAGATGAGGCAGCAAATCCCCTTGATATCTCAACGAAGAACTGACTTGTATGACACAGTTTTGAAGGATTAGATCTTGTACTGTATGTACCTTTCCAAAAAATGTTTCAGTGCTAAATTTGAAAGTAAATATATTTTACATAATTAGTGCTTTGTTTTTGATTACAATGTTAAATCAGAAAACACTACACATTAACAGAACTGTTCCTCTTTAAGAACATTTAGGGCACTTTACAAATAGTTTTGACTTTGAGACGTAAGATAGATAAATTTTGTCATGCCACTTGGGTATGAGGCCAGAAACGTCATCCTACTTTACTTCAAATAGGACGACTGTCGGCGAGTTGATATAACTTCCATGGGAAGGTACTTCAAGACCTTGATCAACAGTATAGGAAAAGCTTAAGATCTGATCATGATGGGGGTGTTTCTTGTGACACTGTTAAATAAATTTGACATTAATTGATATCTGAGAAAATATTAATGAATGCAACATACTGTTTTAATAAACCAGCTTACCTTTAAAACTGTACTCAAGAGCAGCAGTTATAGTACGCATATCATTTTCTATACTCCTTGCCCAGTTTTCAGCATCACCAATTTCTTTTAAGGCTCCATTAAAGTTTTCGACTAAATTTAGCCATTGCTGTGTTTGCTTTGCAAAATTCGTTGCATTATGATGAAGATGTTTAGCTTCAGCATCCAACCGTTTCTGATTTAGATATGCTTGAGCAACACTGAAATTGTGATGCTGGATGAGCAAAATAGTCTACCACATCTGGCTTATTCAAAGATTGCCATAGGTTCACATGATTCTTACCCCACATTAAGATGGTCCACTAGCGCTTGAGTTAAATTGTTAGCTGCTGCAATAGCGTCCTTTCGTTTCTGCTCTGGAAGTATAGTGATAGATGTATCAGTAGTGTTCATATCCCTTTGACAGAAGTTCACTAGCTTCAAAGAGGTTATTGTTGATACGATTATTTACCTTGCCTCTCTTTGCGTGAAGCTTGCTTGCTCTGATGTTCCTTTACTAAGGAGGATAACATTTTGCCCAGAAATATATCGTTTTCAAATTTGTAATCAGTTCAATTCTACCTTAGCCAGCTTGCTGACAGTCTGTTTACTATATTTATTTACGTTACGTGCCCTTTACATCTCACTTTACATCACAATCGCTCTAGCTTCGATGTATCGGTGGTGGTCGGTTCTGGTCAGATATGTTTCGGTTGAGTAATAGTAGAACACACGAACATACTACACCTGCAGAGGACTTTTGTTTGTCCGCGATGTGACGGAATAATTCGCTTTTGAAATTTAATTTTGATCGAAGGAAAAGTGTTCAACAAGGTGTCTCATTTCGAAAACCTGTCACAGATGACTTCCAAAATGGATTCCAAGGGTGAACAGAAGATCCCAGTTGATATTCTGTATGACCTTATCAGGTAAGCCGTATAAAGAGTTGGTGTTCAATGGGCCACATCTGGATAATAATATGCCATGTTTTCCTTTATTTTATTATTTTATTTTTTAAAATTTTAAATCAGTTCTTAAAAATAAATACCGGTACTACATGAAATTTGTAAGGAATTTCATTTCACTTCATGGTGGCTTTTTAATTAAATTTAACTGGATGTGTATTTGCTCCATGGTTTTCTTGCAGTTTAGGAAAAGAGTATCCCATGTTAATGACTATGTTACACTTTCATGAAGTGAAGAAAATATAGAATAAATTTACAAAAGCATGTATAGTTTCAAACTTCAAAACCTTAAATTACCTTTTCCAGCCGATTCGTCATCAATATTCCAGAGGATGAACGTAAGAACATGGTTCGAATATGTTTCCAAATAGAGATCGCCCATTGGTTCTACTTGGACTTCTATTGCACTGAAGAAAACCCACACCTCAAAACTTGCAGTATGAAAGAGTTTACAATCATGATTTTAAAGGTAATTATTCGTATGTTTATTGGTTTTAACTTGTTGTTTACAACCAACAACTACACTAATAACAAGTAGATAGAGATTTTATCTTGTTATGCTAGTACACTTTGTAGAACAAGATTCTGCTTGCCCTCATTCTAAATCATTCACCCTGCACAAATGAAATGTTAATAAAGAATAAGTAGAACTGTGTGGGCACAAGTGTTATTTTGGGAACACATCAAATTTTTAATGCTTTTATTTTACAAAGTATGCAGCCTATGAACAAAACAGCTTTAAGTGCTGCCATCTGTGGTCAATATTAGTAAATATTGTTTTAAACCTTTTTAACAATATTGTTGATAACAACTTTTGGTTATGGAAATTAATTACTTTGTATTTCTGAGAGAAGTTTACACTCATTACCATACACTTTCATTAGAGTGGTGGTAAAGAATGAGTATACTCTTCAGCAGACAATTATCATTGTTTTTTTGTTTTTTTGGTGTGTGTGTGTGTGTGTTTTTTTTTTTAAAGGGTTTGTTCATGGATATTGAGAAGTTTGGTTCCTTTCTTTTTAAATTTTGACACTGACCGACATTTTTCTTAATATTTCAGCATATTCCGGATCTGAAACATCATCTTAAAAATGTAGAATCTATTTTAATGGAATGGAGGGAGTATAAGAGAGCTGTACCCACTTACGGTGCCATTGTCTTAGACGAAGACCTGTCTCATGTTCTGTTGGTTCAAAGCTTTCTAGCAAAGTCGTCTTGGGGGTTTCCTAAGGGAAAAGTAAATGAGGAAGAACCTCCTCTTAGATGTGCTGTGAGAGAGGTATTAAATGATTTTCCTTAATGTGTATAAAGAAATTTGTATTTTAGCTATTTAATTTACCATGGACTAAGTTTTGTTGTTTTTCTTTTTTTCATTTTAGGTATTTGAAGAAACAGGTTTTGATATAAGTGGCCTTATAGATGAAAAAGAATACATCGAAATTACGTGGAATGAGCAAGTGACAAGACTTTACCTCATCCCTGGTGTAGATAGAGCCACTGTTTTTCGCCCTCGAACTCGAATGGAAATTAAAGCTGTCGAATGGTTTCCTTTAGCTGATCTGCCCACAGACCGAAAGAAAAACACAAAAGATGCTACTACTCCAAAGACTAGAAAAGGACCAACAAATCCTAATAATTTCTTCATGGTTCTACCTTTTGTCAAGTATGTTGAATTAGCAAATCAAATTCTGCACTCGCCCTTTGGTCTAATCAATCAATCAATAGAGCTCTGAATTGCTGTACCTGTATTTTTATATCAATCTATGTTCATTTCAGGAGGATACGCCAATGGGTCAATCAGAAACAGCCAAGGAGACAGCGCCACAAGTCTGTCACTGATGCAGACATGCTTGGACGCCAACACCGCAAATCAACTTGTGAAAATGGTGACCAACCAAAGCAAATGACTCAACAGCAGATGTTTGCTGCATCCCTCCAAGTAGGTTATAGCTAGCCACTATTTGTTTTTGTTCTTTCATAATTTTATAAACATTTAGAAGCCAAATCTAACCGATCACCTTTCCATTTTCTTAAAATTGCAGGCTGAAGTTCAAGAAAACAATCTTCTAAGAATGCAGAGGGCTGTCAGTACTGGCCCCTTACACACTCCCTTAAGTGCGCCCCCACGCCCTCAAGCCCAGAATAGAAGAGACAAGACGTCTATCAAACGCCAACTTTTTACTGGTTGGTAACACCTCATCTGTTTCCATATTATCTATCTAGACGTTTTATTTTCATACATAACACTCTTTCCTTTTTATGTTTCAGGTGATGAAGATAAAAATGGTGTGATTCCGAAGTCTCAACAGAATGGGAGAACAAAGAATGGTTTGACATCCAGGCAAAATGGTACTGCCCCCTTTTTAGCTAGAGCTTGGAACAATTTTAAATTTGACAGAGCTCCAATATATGCTGCTGTTCAGTCACCTTTGAGATCTGCTGGCATTCCCGTCAGCTAAAACAAATGTACTGGTACTCACCTCAACAAATCATGCCGTCTCTTTACACCTTTGGTGTAGGCCTCTGTTAATTATTCTGTGAATGAGCATCCCACCTTTGCCTCTAAATGTCCTGTACATGTAGCCAAAGTATCAAAGTGCATCCCTTAGCTTTATCCCTAGTATTTCTGTTGTTGGCATTTCATTACTCTTTGTTTTTTCTGTCTTAATTTAGATTTTCACTTTCATAAGATCTTTTAAAAGGCATTGATATTATTCTGTTTCCTTTTATCAAGCAAATTTTGAGGTTTTCAAAATAATTGTACATTTATTTGAATGTATAATATTAATACTGTTGGATACATGTTTTATGTGGACAACCAAATTTTGTGATTGTAGAAGTATATGTAGTTGCATTTACATACAATGAATTGTGTCTCTTTCCAATGAATGAATAACCATTCATTTTTATCGATTTGTTTTGATAAAGGCTCACATTTTAAATTTTGCCTGTTGTTTGTGATGTTCAAAATTCAGAATTTTATTTATAAGGGCCATTTATCTAGAATCTAATCTGTGCTGAAATGGGAGAGTGATAGAGGATTGTGTACCGTATATTGCAAGTTGATGGCTACAAATTCTATTGTGAATCTATCTTAAAGACTGCAAGAGTTTATTTATTTCTAATGTGTAATTTAAGAAATGGGCATGTAATTCTTCTATCAAGTTGGTGTTTTGTGTGTTAATCAGCTAAATTTCTGATGGCATATATATATATGTGATGTTACATTTACTTGAGCGTTTTTTCTCAGGCAGTTTTCTTTACCATTGTATGTCCATAAGTTTTTTCTGTTATATTTTTCTTTCTTTTTTCTATTTTTTTCACATCTTTCACTGCCTTGAATTTTATTTTATTGTGACAGAACATTCTGTAAGTGCCACTTAAATCTCACACCTTCACATTATTTCTCCTCGTTTTTATGTCCAATTATGTTTGTATAATCAATTGGTTGTGCCTAGGAGATAACGTTAGCCTTTTTTAAGTTGTTTTTGGTCGAAGACTTGCGTGGAGCAGAAGTAGCATGTGTAGGGTAGGAAAGTTTCTGGTTTTGTTTTAAGATATGACTACGCCTGTTTGCAAGTTCAAATACTTTGGGTTATTTGATGTGTTGGACCATGTTTGGCTACTCTTTTCTGATCTCCACTGATGAGTGGTTTGTTGTACAGTCTATCAATCAATTATTGGACACAATACCGCTCTTTCATACTTTCTGCTTAAACCACACATATGAGTTTCTCTATAATTCAAAAGGGTTAGTAGTCTGCGGCTTATAATGTTTGCTAATCTAATTTTGATCGTGGTGAAAAAACTAAGTGGGTATGTTGTATGCATCAGATTTTATTAAGTCTGCCATTTTTTTAAAATCATCTTGAACCTCTAATAAGGGTCTAATTAGGGTCTGTATCAGATTCTGACGTTGCCACTGTTGAGTGAGTGTCTGTTATTGAATATGTCAATACACTCACACAGAACATGCAAGTTACCATTTGAGAAATGTTTCAGTATTTATCCTGTTGTTTTTTCATCTATAAAAAGGTTCTATGACAAAAATGGTTTGTGCCATTCCTTGATATAGGGGTGTACCCTGCATAATTATAGTGAATGTTTAAACATGGTTGCTATGGAGAGAGCATGTGTGATTCAGTCAAATTATTGACAAATTACCAAAAGTAAGAAACCTGTCATATAATTGTATTTGTTATCTGCATAATCCAATCCTGTTTCAACTCCTCTCTGGTTGTTGATATATCTTTGATTTCGTCCTTGAATTTGATCATGACTTATTGATTATATACAACCTCATTCATTTTCAATAATTATGGTTTTGTAATTAACAAGTTTCCTTATCCAAATAATTTGTCTGTGTTTTGTTCATATCTGAAGCAAGTGTAATGCTTAAAAAAATACATTGTGGTATGGGTATGATCATTTTATTGCATTACAAGCATAATATACAATGCATAATAACAAGGATAGCTTATGTGCAATTTTTTTAAATCCTTATAGGGCTCGTGAATGTACAAAGTTTTCTTTTTTGTTTCAATGTGCTTGAAGTGAATTTACTCACAAGCATCTAAGAAAGACTGATTTGTAATGTTTGTTCTCTGTTTTCAAGTTAACACTCTACATGCATGTACAAGGTGCATTTGATTAATGATAAACAAATGATTAAGTCTCACCAAAAACTTTTTTTGTTTCATCTGACAGAATGTTTTAGTATTTCTTTTTGAATGTAGTGGTAATTTGGACAATAAAACCACTTGACAAATTTACTGGTGTTTGTGGTCCTTCAAACCCCCTCTCGTCTGGGTGCAAACAACTACAGTTTAAGGGGGCAGTAGCACTTCGAGGCGGATTTTAAGAAATTTGAGTAGAGTTATTCCTCTAAAATCCGTAGTTTCCATCGGAATTTTTTTTTCCTAGTTCATTCTACTGAGTCTTATGTACTAACAAAGAAAAACTATACGGGATCACGATCTGTCAAGTACTGTAGCTTAAATCGTGCGCGCAAGCTATCTTTAAAAATTTCCTGCTTGCGCGCACGATTTAAGCTACAGTAC